TGGGTTTACTCCAATGAGACAGTCACCCAATTGACATCTTCAGATCACCATACACGTACCACTGAATGAAAAAATGATCTAATTCAATATTATGATTAAATTCCATTTCAAGAATCAAGTCGTTTGAAGGATAAGATACTATGTATACATATAACATGTTGTGATATCATTTTACGACTAAAAACAATGAAACTCAACTTTTACATCGTTTAATGCAAAAGTATGCAAAAGAGGAAAGATTGTATTTATATAAAACCAAATATTCATCCCCGATTAAAACTCGAAAACGTAATAATGATAGCGTAATTTCTTATTATCGGCTTGAATCGGTCAAAAGAAATCGTTCATCCTGCTTGTATTTTCACCTTACCAGCTCACATTCTTTTCAAGAACTGAAAATGTTGAGCACATGCGATATTGATCTCAAACTGAGGTCATAAAGGTCGGATATAGATCAAAATGGTATCAAATTATTATTGTGCGAGTCAAAACAGCGAATTTTTGGGGGGTTATTATGATAACATAAAACTGTTATTAGATTATTTTTTTAGCTCACCTGGCCCGAAGGGCCAAGTGAGCTTTTCTCATCACTTGGCGTCCGTCGTCCGTCGTCCGTCGTCGTCCGGCGTCGTCCGTCGTCGGCGTAAACTTTTTACATTTTGAACTTCTTCTAGAGAACCACTGAATGGAATGAAACCAAACATGGCATGAATGTTCCTTATGAGGTGCTGACCAAGTGTTGTTACTTTGTAGCCAATCCATCATCCAAGATGGCCGCAAGCGGTGGACTTAGTTTAACATAGGACCCTATGGGAAATACATACAAATGTCTTCTTTTAGAGAACCACTGAATGCAATGAAACCAAACATGGCATGAATGTTCCTTATGAGGTGCTGACCAAGTGTTGTTACTTTGTAGCGGATCCATCATCCAAGATGGCCGCCAGCGGTGGACTTGGTTTAACATAGGACCCTATGGGAAATACATACAAATGTCTTCTTTTAGAGAACCACTGAATGGAATGAAACCAAACATGGCATGAATGTTTCTTATGAGGTGCTGACCGAGTGTTGTTACTTTGAAGCCGATCCATAATCCAAGATGGACGCCAGCGGGGGACTTAGTTTAACATAGGACCCTATGGGAAATACATACAAATGTCTTCTTTTAGAGAACCACTGAATGGAATGAAACCAAACATGGTATGAATGTTCCTTATGAGGTGCTGACCAAGTGTTATTACTTTGTAGCGGATCCATCATCCAAGATGGCCGCCAGCGGTGGACTTAGTTTAACATAGGACCCTATGGGAAATACATACAAATGTCTTCTTTTAGAGAACCACTGAATGGAATGAAACCAAACATGGCATGAATGTTCCTTATGAGGTGCTGACCAAGTGTTGTTACTTTGTAGCGGATCCATCATCCAAGATGGCCGCCAGCGGTGGACTTAGTTTAACATAGGACCCTATGGGAAATACATACAAATGTCTTCTTTTAGAGAACCACTAAATGGAATGAAACCAAACATGGCATGAATGTTTCTTATGAGGTGCTGACCGAGTGTTGTTACTTTGAAGCCGATCCATAATCCAAGATGGACGCCAGCGGTGGACTTAGTTTAACATAGGACCCTATGGGAAATACATACAAATGTCTTCTTTTAAAGAACCACTGAATGGAATGAAACCAAACATGGCATGCATGTTCCTTTTGAGGTGCTGACCAAGTCTTGTTACTTTGAAGCTGATCCTTCATCCATGATGGCCGCCAATGGGGGGACTTCCTTTAACATAAGACCCTATGGGAAATACATACAAATGCTTCTTCTAGAGGTGCACTGAATGGAATGAAACCAAAACATGGCATAAATGTTTCTTATGAGGTGCTGATTAAGTGTTGCTACTTTGTTGCCGAGTTACTGTTCAAGATGGCCACCAGGATTTTTTATTAAATTACAGGACCAATATTAAACCAAATTTGGCCTCACTCATTATTAGGGTATCTGTTATGATTTTAATCTATTTTTACATGATTTCCAAAACCAAAGTAGAATCAGGTGAGCGACACAGGCTCTTGAGAGCCTCTAGTTTAACTAATGTGTTATTGCAAATGTTTGGTTTAAAAACTTGCTCTCTAACTTTTACTGTCAAAATCGTCTTTTGAAACAGAAAAAAAAACTTCTACACATGGAGAAGAAACTTCTCAAACAGGAAATAGTATCAGATACAGCAGATAAATATCGATTGAGAGATTTACAAACTCTTATAGTTGATGTGTTTCTCTCAGTTTTAGTTTGTTTCCCGGATTTGTTTTAGCTTAATCAAATTATGACCATTGAACTGAAATACACACACTTTGCATAAAGCAAAAATGTACACCTTTTACCAAATATCCAAACGAATTTTACTACATACATTTGTAGATGAATATGTATACAATATTAGGTCAATGTAAGAAAAATATAAACTTTTTGTATGATGCTAAGAAACTTGGGAAGGGCGATGCGATGCCCTTCCCCCGTTTTGTACTGAGTACAAAAAAGTTTATATTTTTCTGACATTGATCTCATATTGTTTTTGTACTGCAACTTAAAATAATACATTGATAGCGATTTTAATTGTAACACAAATTTCAAACATATTTTCACGCCTAGATGAACCCCTGATTGTGGAAAAAGTGATCCATGATGAAATTGATATTGCACAAAATATAGCTTTGTTACTATATTGAGGAAATAAACACAACTAGTTGTAGTATAAAACTATTTATAAAATCGTGCTTCCAAAGCGCTTTATGGATTAATCTTCACTGGGTACGCGCAAACCTAAACAATCGAAAGCCAGGGATGTAAAAATACGTAGCCACGCTATAGGATATATACGATAAAAAGAGACTTCAACAGAATTTACAGCATTGTATATTGCGTTCCAATTGCATGAATATTATTTTCTAAAATCACCTTTTAGTACTCTCCTGAACAAAGGTTTATGATAATTCTGTCCATTTGACGATTTAATATTTCACGGACTGGCGCTCAGATTAACTAACATACGGAGCATAACCACACTATAAAGAAACCGTAAAAACAGGTGAGGTCCGGTCTGGACAGGGACATGACCAATATCTCTTCATAACTAGATGGCATTAATAATAATTGATTGACATTGGTGTTTGCTAAATGTCCAGTGTCAAATATTTCCTATCATTAATAATAATGTTTGTAATGCTTTATTTAAAGAGGACAACAAAGTTAGCTATAAAACTAATCTTCCTAAAATACATTGAAATATAACAAAAACATTGAGCATGGTTTAAGTATAACAAACAAAAAAGTACGAAATAATCAAACAAACACACAAGAAAACTTCAGATTTCTTACAAAACAGTAGTTCAGACGTGCTGTCACTTTATTCTTATTAACAAATTTCACAATAAATCAAGTCTCAATCCGAACAACTGAGATATTATGAACTATATTGAACTTTTCGGTAGGTCATGTACCGATGAAGTAATTGTTATGCCATTATTTGCCAACTACTTTTTTGTGCCTGTGCAATTAAGATAACACAAATACCATTTGTTCTTCATGTTGTGCATTTGCTTTTGTGAAATAAGGAAATAAGTTGTTGGTGGCATTTTAGATATATAGTCTGTCAAATACAAAGGCGCAAACTATATATATATATATATATATTATCGGTAGGAGCTTAATTATATTTTTTTGAAATTTGGATTATCTCCCTGTTAACATCTGCCTATTTTGACCGCTGAGGTGAAATCTCCTTATTTCTTCCTCTTTTATATATGTTACATAATTATCAGATGATTTTCCTGTTAAATGTAACAAAATAAAATTGAGAATGGAAATTGGGAATATGTCAAAGAGACAACAACCCGACCAAAGAGCAGAAAACAGCCGAAGGCCACCAATGGGTCTTCAATGCAGCGAGAAAATCCCGCATCCGGAGGTGGTCCTCAGCTGGCCCCTAAAAAAAATTGTGTGCTAGTTCAGTGAAAATGGACGTCACACTAAACTCCAAAACATATAAATGAACTAAAATTAAAAAAACATACCAGACTACCAAGGCCAGAGGCTCCTGACTTGGATGCCACAAACATTGTGTGTACAATATGCTAAAATCACTTGATATTTTATTTTAGCCAACTAATTCATTAATGGTAGTAATCATTTGAAAGTTGAAAAATGTTTTAAGCATTAATGATGTAACTAAAAATACAAGGCGAAAAAGATTTTACTACAAGTCTCCCTCTCAAAAAGAAGGAAATATCACTTTAACATTAGTTTGTTTTTTACCTTTAAAAGTTGACACACTTGCATGCCATATAATTTAGAGGGAGAATAATTTTTTGTAAAAATTTTTCCTTGCTTCCAACGTAAATGAATTTTTACAAAATCCATCAAAAATAGTCATATGTAAGAGTATGTATTTGTATTTGTTTAACCGCCACTGACTTCACGCGAATAGATTGAATGAGAGAGAGAAACTAAAACAATTGCTAGTTAAAAGAATAATTTTGATAATTTTGTAATTCAAGCAAAAATATTTAGGACATTTTCAGGTTGATGGAAAGGGATGTAGCCGCTCTTTTCTGAAGGTATAGATGGAGGTTTGCAAAATAGAGACAAATGGTCAAACAATATATAAAGAATAGAGAAATGGATAAAAAATATAAAGAATAGGAAATAATGAGGTACTAAAATATAAAAAATAGAGAATAATGGTCAAAATTTATAAAGAATAGAGAAAAATGGCATAGAGAATAAAAAAATACAGAAATGAAGGACCCCCCCCCCCCCCCCCCCCCCGCCTCAATTCAGACCCTTTTGTCTGCATCTAACAGGTATAAGAATATATTGAAAATGACTTAAAAAATGTAAAGGACTGATAGATAGTTGTCTCACTGGCAACCATACCACATCTCATGATTATTATATTTATATTTATATTTAGACCACTGTCAAGGTTTCAACTTGGCAAGGACACTGAAACACGTGGAAAGATTATCTAAGTGTGTCACAACTTCAAGTACAAGTGTCATCGAGATCTACAATTATAGATGTGTAACAAAATATAATGAAAGTTTTAACATTAATATATCTCATATATATTATAGTTGTGAATAGCGGGGTTTCTCAACAACAACCGGTGGTATCAACAGATTGTGGTCCTGTTTTAGGAATTAATTCCACAGCCTTTGTATTCAAGGGAATCCCATATGCCGTTCCACCTTTACGTGATCTACGATGGACTCCTCCACAGGCCCTGAGCAAAACTGGTGGAACATGTTGGGCAGGAACATTCAATGCATCAACATTTGGAAACACGTGCATACAACGAAATGAAGACAATTCAAGCGAAATTATAGGTAATGAGGACTGTCTCTATCTCAATGTATGGACGCCGACGCTAAACTCCAGCGCTAATCTACCAGTTATGGTGTGGATACATGGTGGAAGTTTGCAGTTATCAAATGGAAACTGGCCGACTTTTAGCCCAACTTCAAAACTTGCAAACTCGACAAACGTCGTTTATGTCAGCATGAATTATCGTCTTCATGCCTTCGGTTTTATGGCTTTGGATATTTTGACAGCTCGGTCGGCACATAGATCGTCTGGAAATTATGGATTCATGGATCAACAACTTGCACTTCAATGGGTGCAACGGAACATCAAAAACTTTGGCGGAAACCCTGATTTGGTAAGTTAAAGCACTTCAATCGGTGTAAAAGAAAAAAATCGACGAAAATCGGGATGCGGTAAGTTAAGGGTTAAGCTTGATTAGTTATTGGTTGTGTAATGTCCAGTTGCCAATGTTACAACCGTATACCATAGAGGAGGATGAAGGAGAAATACAACAAAAGCCTGTTTTATCAGAAGGAAAACTGATGAATATGTAATTATTAAGCTTCGTCCTACTTAACGTTAAAGTAAAGTTGTATATAAAGGTCACTGACGAGACTGGGGAATATTGGCCTTAGTAGAGAGAAGACCTTTGAAATAAAGTTCAAATTACATAGTTATTATAACAAAGGGTTAAGACAAGACAGGTTTTCGATTAATGCATGTGACCGTAAGCTTTATTACAGGTTTTACTGTACTTGCTTTTTTAGATTGTGGCATAAGTCTAAAGTCTGGAAGAGAATATCAAACTGATCTTTCTGAATTGTGACTGTTAAACCTCAGATGAAACATTAAAACACATTATTAATGTTAGTATACAATTAACAAAATAAAGGCTATGATGATGAATTATTGAAACATGCAACTTTGTTCATTTTGAAACAGCAAATAGGCATACAATACCTTTATCATATCTTTTTAGTTTTTCTCTATAATAATTACGCAAATTCCTAATTTTCATTTTATTAAAGGTTACCATGTCTAACAGTACAGGAACATTATTATCCTTTTTACACTTCTTTATATTCCTTAAATACTGAAAAAGCTAATTTATTATCTCTTTATTTTTATTTTAGGTTACCGTATTTGGTCAGAGTTCAGGCGGAACTAGCATTATAGGTCTTCTCGCATCTCCATTGTCAAAGGGACTATTTCACCGCGCATGGATGATGAGTGCGTCACCTGTTTACAATAAAACTCTAGTAGAAGCATCTAAAGATAATTTATTGTTTCTGAAAAACACAGGCTGTTCAGATATAAATTGCCTGGTTAATGTACCAGCAGATGACATTATTCATGCAATTCCATGGAACGTCTATCCTTATTGGGCTATGACGGATCAGATGGACTTGCCAATTCGTAACTACTTTGACGGGGCTATTTGTATTGTGGATGGTGAGTTAACATTTTACTGTATGCCATTTTGCCATATCTTACCATCCTTTATTTTTTGAATAATGTAGCCAAACGTACATGATACAGTATATACTAATAGATATTTGATTGATTGATTGTTTAATTTTTTGTTGTTAGCTCAACGTCCAGTGGCAAAAATGTCATGCGTTTTCAGCGCCAGTAATTTGTAAAAAATAACTAATCGAATAACTTGAATTTAGAAACATATTCAACGAGTATCCAACCGCAACAACCCACGAATACACGTAGCGCATACGTGAGTGATCAGCGTTATCATTTCGTTTTGATAAAACTCCTTTTACATCTTCTTGACACCTATTGTTGTATAGCATCCGAGGAGTGAAAATACATGGTTGATATCACGTGTAAGATATCCGTTTTTCTCTTTTGGTTGTGGCCTGTTATCTGTATCCTGCATGACGAGAAAGTACTTGTTTAACGGAGCATATTTTGAATAACTCATATCACAAACGATTTAACAAGGTTGTTTTTTTTTTAGCAATGTGGTACAACATTCTGATATTTCCTATTGGCTTTAGTTTAAGCCAATGATGACTAAAAAGACCACTTTTATCGCGCACAATAGTTTTTTTTTACTTCTGGTTCTTCGCAATTTTACCCTTACTGGACCCATTGTCTATGTATGATTGCCGATGATATCAGTAGATGATTGGCTAATTTCAGAGCTCTGGGCTATGTTGAAGGTCATAACCTTTATCATTTCTCTGGATTAATCAAAATATGCTCACAGGTGTAAGAGAAATTTATAAAGAGTTTTACTACCCAAAAATAGTTCAACCTTCAATTTTTCCTCCATTTGATCCAAGGATGCATAAATACAGCTTTTGCACATCAGTTTTGAAAGTGTTTGACATAGATATCAGAAATGTGGAAGGCACTCGAATGGGATTTTCGTCTCAAAAATGAGAATCTATTTGTTAATCTTTATAGAAACAGATTCTTATTATGGTAACCCAGCCTTATTCTGTTCTCATTCAATATGAAATCTATAACTTTTTAACTAGAAAATCGTAGAATTTCATTTCAACCAATATAATGAATTCAAATAAAATTATTTGATATTCCTGTACATATGTAATGTAACAACCATACAATTGAAAATGAAAATGCTTCATGTGTCTATATATATAGCTATCTAAAGTAGCATGATTGTAACTTTTACTACACCTTATCGCTATTCATTCCAATCCTAGTTCTGAAATTACACAACCATTTATCCAGTTGAAGGAATCTGGTCCCCTGTTTGAACAATGTAGTATGCATAAAACTTTTCAAATAGACACGTTTATACCATCGTAAACACTTCACACAAAGCATTTTTATGATTTTAATTTGTGTTTTAAGAAAGTTGATCAAAATCTATCAAAGTTTAAAAATGTTTGCTTTCTAAACTTTTCCCTCCCTCAGCTCATTACTGATGACCTTCGTTTTGCAACACTTGACCCAAACAGGAAGTTGTCTAACTGACTGTTTGTTCCGGAATGGACTTAATAGCGATAAGGTGTATACACATAATGCGATAAAAACCTAAGGAGAATTGATAGATGATAATACACAAACACGCACATAAACAAACAATAAATCATTGCCTTTATTTAAATAGTATCATATGCTTTTCGGTTCATTTTTGTAACCAACTGATTAAAGATGGTGTGATATATTGCGTAAAATTAAACGTACTTGTATTCTTTTAATTGCAAATAAAATCAGGTTAATTTATTTCAGGATATGTTGTACCCGAACCACCGTTTGAAATGTGGAAGCAGGGAAAAGGGATAGACGTCCCCGTAATTGTTGGCACGTAACTTCATATGTTAGATTATTATCGTAAATGTAACTTTGTTCAGGAATATGATACGACATTTTTTGGCGGTCTTAGATCTGTATATATAGATACAAGATTTAGTCGTCTGATCTGCAAATTTTGCGATTGTGACCTTTAACCAATTTTGACATTTAAACTGAATGTGAAATCGAATTGCATGTGATAAAATTGAGGATGGAAATAGGGAATGTGTCAAAGAGACAACAACCCGACCATAGAGTAGACAACAACCCGACCATAGAGCCGACAACAGCCGAAGGCCACCAATGGGTCTTCAATGCAGCGAGAACTCCCGCACCCGGAGGCGGGCTTCAGCTGGCCCCTAAACAAATATGTATACTGATGCATGCATAGCAGGGGAAGCTTACACTGTAGACGCCCCGGTTTTGCTCTTTTTTCGATTTAATATGTAATTCACTCAGTTATTTTACCTTTGATATATACCTTTTTAATGGACTTATGAAATTTGCTTACATCTAGATGTTATGTTCAACCTGTGCTTTTTTCTTTCATCTTCATTTATGAATATAACTATTTTGTTTGAAGCCAAATGCTTGCTGTGCTTCGTATTGGTAGAAAGTACCTAGTATAATGTCTTTATTAGGTTCGCAAATGGTTCGGAATAAATATGGCTTGTTTGAAAGTTGCAGTCAATAATTACTTCTTTCTTCCGATCAGACACTAAAACCCCAAATGATTTCCTTTCATTATGGTAATCATTCACGAAAATAAGTGTTCAAATACTCTTTGATAGTTCTCCAATGTTAAAACGATAATTGGAAAATAAATCGACAAATAATAAATTAACCAGAGGAACTATGACCTTAACAAACAATGATATCCTCCCAATTTCCAGCTCTTATAGCTTATGGTTAAGATTGTGGGACAACTTCAATAAATCATAATCAGCGCTGTTTAAGAGGAGTTCTGGACACGAAATGAGTTGACTTCAAGTAATTCATTGCCAAAGTCCATAACTTGCAATGGTAAGTGAAACCCCAAAAATGATTCGGTTTAAAAACTAAATAAGAGGTGCACAATAGAATTATATAGTTACGATTGTGAAATGACATTAACGGTAACAATCTTAATCGAAAAGATGCGCATTTCGACAATAAAGCGAATACCAAATGGGTTCTACTTAAATTCCACTAGTTCAATAAACTTTTTAGACATTTGAAATTATCCTTACATCGTTTAATCAATTCGATCGCGAAAGGAATATACAACAATAGTTTATTTAACCGTCTCATGCATTTATCTTTTGAAGGTACAACCAGTCAGGAGGTCGACCTTCACCCATCACATTCAGATATAAACAGTTGGACGTGGGATACTTATCACAAATATGTCCACACATATCTCGACACATTTCCTGGAAACATTTCTGCCAAAGCTTTAGTCTTGTACCCAGATGGTGTAGAAAGCGAAGCTTACCAATTCACAACGATGACGTCAGATTTAAGAGTAACCTGTCCAAATAATATCATGTCAGATATACTCAGTAAATACTTCAAATCTCCAGTTTATCGATACGTTTTAACTATGTGGCCATCCCAGCCCGTCAATGTAATGGGTATTCCATTCAAGGCTAAGTACGCATGTCACATGTGGGACGCCATTGCATTTTTCGGCTCCATCAGCGGCTACTACAAACCTACAAAAAGTGATCAAATCTTTGAGAAATCGATTCAGAAGGAAATGGTCCATTTTGCCACTACAGGAAAACCATATACACAAAGCTGGAAGACTTATCCAACAAGCATTGGTCTTCTTACTACAAACGTGACAGTTGTGTCGTCTTATCATTCTAAAATGTGTAATTTTTGGAATGAAAACAATTTCTTCAGCTACGCATGGATAAATTAGTAAATCTAAATGTAGTATATGCTTTCTATATTTTAATAAATTAATAAATTCAAATGACGAAGTTATATGATCAGTTTTCATAGCAATATTCATTTTAAGTTTGAGTATCAATCAATTAGTCTTGTTTTGTAGAGAGAAAACAAAAACTGCTTAAAGACATTTTCTTGTGTCAAGGATCGCTCAAAATTAAATGATTAACAAAGGAAAAAAAAAGGAATCTGTCAACTGCTAATATGTCAGATCATTTAAAGGGCAATGTTCACTGTAATAACATATCGTTTTGTTTTTAAAATGTAGATAGAAATTTAAAAAAGGCAATTGTATGTGAAAAGTGCATTTTTGTCCCGCTTATGTATACTCTACCCATTTATAGATCTTAAATTCACCAAATTCATTGTTTGTATTTCTTGATGTATAAATGCTCTATTGATCTTTTAGCTTAAGATTCAATGTTTTATAGTGCTTACAAAATAAATAAGTATTAGAAATACCGTATACTTCACGTTAAAAGTAAAGATCCTATCACGAACGTAAAGGACTCTATTTTTGCCGTATAGATAAAAGGAAATATGGCATATCTATCAAGGCGATAGAAACCTTACAACACATGCAAAATATACATACTGATATTATATGAAGGTCTTCTAAAACAAAGAGGTGCCTATCAATATGTTTAACTGTAAGTAACCCACAGTATAGAACAGATATTAAACAAGACTATTAAAGAAATAGGTCTGCCATGATTACCAAATTACATATAAAGAAATATAAGCATCAAGTTATATCTAGAGTTACCCACTGTCGAATTTCCTGTCAGGTTAAATAATGTATGTTTTATGTATATATCTAAAGGATAACATATCAATATCTGAGTAGATTAAGCTCTGTAATTATAGATTATTTGTATACGTGAGAAAATCGTAATTGACTTTTCAAAACTAATATGTTTCATCGCACCTTAGATAAATTATGACGTTATGATTGGATCCATATGGGGTCAGTAGATTTCATAATGGGGTTCATGACGTCACGCATACTAATAATAGTGACTTTATCTATTGATGTTATTGTATTGCTTATTTTTGTACATAACAGATTCTAAATATGTTAAGGCTATGCAGTATAGCAAGGATGTCATATGTCGTTTCAGAATTTATAAACTAAAGACCATGGGAAGTTTTATTTGTACGTAAACAAAAATCAAGCAAACCTTACTACTCGACAATTGGTTGATTTTTTATTGTTGATCACGTGGCTATAGCGTTGAAAATATTGCCTAGAAAATTATTTTTAAATGATGAATTTATTTTATGTCCATATATTATATAACGTAGCAGAACCAATAAGTTTAACTTGATTTACCAAAGTAGATTTTAATTTACAACTCATGATTTATTTTGACCATAGTGAGAACATACACTTCTGCCGCTTATCTTGATTTATATTTAGGAATTGACAATGTTGGCCAGGGTCGATTGAAAACTTCAACTTAACGACAAAAAGAGACGATTTCAGTATAGCTATTGTGAACTATCGTCGTATATTGAATCCAGCAGCTCCTTCACATGGAGTATATACCCCCCCCCCCCCCTTTGATACGATATTCCAGAGCTTGCGTTTCTGATCATGTTTTCCTTGACGATAATAACAAGGAAGCTATTCAACCATGGTTAACTGGTGGTAAAGTTACAGTCGTCTATCGGATGGTTTTGTCATCGTGGTTTGACTTGTGGTTATGAAATGTCTGTGTCTCAAAGCATCACGAATTTGTTTCAATTGTCGTAACCACAATCTTGTCCACTTTTGTGACGTCCCAAAATGAGACCTATCACCGATGCACTCCGGTTGTAACATGTGGAATATGATCTGTTTATTCTTCCTAATCACCTCAGATCATCTGTATTTTTTGGTTAAATTCATGTTTCTCAGGCTTTAGTTTTCTGTGTAGTGTTTGATATACTGTTGTTTGTCTTGTCGTTATTTTGATACATTGTTTGTAGTTGCCATTGTATTGTCGGTTTTTCTTCGACTTACTGTTTACTTCTCAAATTTCTTATGCTTCATTTTAAGGTCAGAAATGTAGCTTCGTGTGCGAATTTATTGCATCAAAAATAAGATTTCGAAACAAATACTGTTCTTTTTTCTGATATCTTGTTTTGGACTCAAAAACCAATTTTTAAATATTTGCTTTAAAAGAAATTTCTTCATATAGTAAAATCTCTTTATGATAGTTACTTTCTATGGGTAGTCATAATTTTAAATTGCAGTCACTATTATTTACTATCTTCCAATTAGACAGTAAATAACCGGTAACGGTAATTTACCGATGTTCAAATATCGCAGATCCATTTTGAGAAAACAAATCAATAAAAAGGGGTCTAATCGAATGAGCACCAATTGAAGCTACAATGGGTGACTTTGAGAGAGTAATCATCTATTGCTATGCATGAACCATCCATTATTCGAGTCCAGAATCCAATCAAAATGCTTTCTTTTGATTTGTTAGTATGCAAACCTTCTACGTCATTTGGTCTTTGGTGGAAGATATTCTTATTTTTGTATAGGGGCCTCGGTGGCCGAGTGGTCTAAGTAGTTACCACTGTAATCACTAGCCAGTCAACACTGAGGTTGTGAGTTCGAACCCCGCTCGTCCGGGTGCACTCGACTCCAATCTTAATTAACTAGGATTGTCAGTTTTCCTATCGAAGGTCGGTGGTTTTCTCCGGGCATTCCGGCTTCCTCCACCAATAAAAACTGGCCGCCACGAAATAGCCCAAAAGCGGTGCTTAAAAATTGATTATTTTTATATACTAAGTTTGATAGTATCACGTCTTAAAAACACAAAATTAAAAATATGTTAACATTATGAATGCGCACAGATGCGTAAAAAATCCAATTTTTGTTATAAAGGAATAGGAAGATTATTCAAAACTCATATTGTACAGAGAAGTGATCAAATATTTATGAATATCTTGCATTTTTGGTTTTTAAATATTTCATTTAAACTCTGTATTGCTGAAGATTATTTTTCACAACCTTTCAAAACTGAGTGAAACAGATACAGGAATGGTAAACTTGGCCTAACTTTTTTTAAATTTGAAAAATAAAGCA